AGCATATATGCTTTGTACAACAGCTGCTTCTAGTAGTTACTACTCTATTTTATTAATTTAAAATTTCAGTTTGGTGATTGTTGGAACATTATTCTTAACAAGCAAAGCAGTTCTCATTTTAGTTCTTTCCCATCTGTGTTTTTTATTCCAATGATATGTATACATGTCCTGGGCTTTTGCTTTTTTGGACTGGGCTCTTATAGCTCACTTCCTTGCTTGAATTGTAGCATACTTGTGCCCTGATATCTAAAATTTCAACTGTCTTTTACTAGGCTATTCTGACACCAGATGAGGAACAACACGGTATGCTCTTTTCTCATTTTCCCCTTAGCTTGATTATCATGTATGCTTGGACCCTTTCATTATATACTTCCAAAGAAGGGGAAAATTCAGTTTAAAAAAAAAATATTCTTGTTAATATCAATATCCATCTGCCAAAATACAGCATATTAGTTTCTTTCTCCTTATATATGGTTGGATTTGCTTCATTTTCCTGATGAACAATGACTCGTTTTTGCTCTATCTCAAAGACCTTTTATTTTTCCTCTAGGACTCACATGACCAAGCCGGTATTGTCTACAATGGCAGTTTGGTGCCTCTTCTTAAACTTCTTGACTCGAAAAATGGATGTTTGCAACATATTGTTGCATTTGCTCTTTATGGTATTGCAGAGAATGAGGTGAATCTACATCAAAATATTTCTTTGTTGTGATTTCATATTCTATTTCTTTGCATAATGCTATAATGTGAAATTGAGATCTATTGGTTGGACACAGGCTTCGTATTCTTGTCTTTGTTGTTAGGATAATGTCTCTGATTTTATCAAGGTAGGAGGTGTTCAAAAGCTACAAGATGGTGAATTCATTATCCAGGTATGTTGAGTACTTTGATGTTGCCAGATCCATGCTTCCTAATATGTGTATATTGATCTTGTTTTGATTTGTTTTATATTTTGAACCAAGTTTTATTGAAAAATATTACTTCAATTACAGGCAACTAAGGACCGTGTAGCAAAGACAATGAAGAGATTAGAGGAGAAGATTAATGGGCCAGTACGTTCTGTTTGCTGTATTTCTTGGCTTATTGCAGTATATATTCAGAACGATAAGGATTTAATTTTAATTGGTGGATCTGTTTAATGGATGTAGACATGGTGTTCCTTGCCTTTTGCCCTTGCAGGTACTAAAGCATTTATTATATCTGATGCGAGTTGGAGAGAAGGCTGTCCAAAGACGTATAGCTTTGGCTCTTGCTCATTTATGTTCACCTGAGGATCAAAGAACTATTTTCATTGATGATGATGGTACTGTATCTGTCCAGCAACCATGACATCCTTCTGCTTTTCCTCCTTTTTATAACTAAGGAAATTAAGTAACATATTCTCAATGTAGGACTTGATCTTCTTCTCGAACTACTGGGATCGACTAATCTAAAACAACAGCAAGATGCATCAGTTGCTCTTTACAAGGTGGCTAAAAAAATCCCTGACTCTATTCTGTTGATGCAGCTTCTCCATCCCCCTCATCTCAGGTTTGCTAAAATAGGCATTCCTTAATTTTGTTTCTAAGCAGTTTTAGCATTAAAACATGTCCCATATTCACATAAATACAAAAACATATAAAAGGGTCAGATTTTCAATTCTTGGAGCTAGTTACATGGAATTTGAAAGTGCTTATGTAATTGCTTTGGCTAGTCTTTTAACTCAATGTTTTTTTCAGTGATTGCAAAAGGCGCTCGGGCGAGGCGAGGCGAGGCCCGAGCGCCTCGCTAATGTCCCAGGCGGTGCGCTTCAAACAGGCGCCGCCTAGGCGCTCGCCCGAGCCCAGGCGTTGGGCGCTTCGGGCGAGCGCCTGGGTAAACCAAGGCGATCGAACCAGAATTTTAGGTCTAGTTCGGCCCTGGTTTGGTTGTTAGTTGGTTCAATCGAACCAACTAAACCGATATAACCCCAAACCTAACCCTAACCCTAACCCAACACTAACCTGCTGCCGCTGTCGCTCTCGATCCCGATCCCGATCGCGATCTCGTTGCTCGCTGCCGCTGCTCCCGCTGTCGCTGCTC